AAGCAAATTAATGCCGCTTTTTTAATATTCATTTATTTTTTACATTATTTAAATTGATTTTTAAACAGTATACACTACAATATTTTGAAAAAGCAAGAAAGAGAATAAGTGAAGTTGTACATTTTAAAGTATGTATGTACTTGCATATTGGGAGATGGGAAAGAAATCTACTTGCTTTAGTTTTGCTGGCAGTTGTTCTGCACACAAAAATGTACAATTCAGATAACTATTGTTTAAAACACGGTTCATAATGAGTAAACACTCTTTAAAAGAGCTACAGTGCATGCAGAATGTATTCATAGAGCTTCAACTTTTTCACATTTGTTTTAATGTTAAAGCCTTATTCCAAAATGGATTAAATTAATTTATTTCCTCAACATTCTACACACAATACCCCATAATAATAATGTGAAAAAAAGTTTTTTTTTGAAATTGTTGCAAATTTATTACAAATAAAAAACCTGAAAAATCACATGTACATCAGTATTCACAGCCTTTGCTCAATACTTTGTTGATGCACCTTTGGCCCGATTACAGCCTCAAGTCTTTTTGAATATGATGCCACAAGCTTGGCACACCTGTCTTTGGGAATTTTTGCTCATTTCTCTATGCAGTACCTCTCAAGCTCAGGTTGGATGGGAAGTGACGGTGTACAGCCATTTTCAGATCTCTGAGACGTTTAATAGTATTTAGGTCTGGGCTCTGGCTGGGCCACTCAAGGACATTTACAAAGTTGTTGTGAAGCCACTCCATTGACATTTTGGCGGTGTGCTTTGGGTCATTGTCCTGCTGGAAGATGAACCGTCACCCCAATCGGAGGTCAAGAGCACTCTGAAGCAGGTTTTCATTTAGGATGTCTCTGTACATTGTGCATTCATCTTTCCCTCCATCCTGACTAGTCTTCCAGTTCCTGCTGCTGAACAACATCCCCACAGCATGATGCTGCCACCACCATGCTACACTACCGGGATGGTATTAGCCTGGTGATGAGCAGTGCCTGGTTTTCTCTAAATGTAACGCCTGGCATTCACTCCAAAGAGTTCAATTTTAGTCTCATCAGACCAGAGAATTGTGTTTCGTATGGTTTGAGAGTCCTTCAGATGCCTTTTGGCAAATTCCAGGCAGGGAGTGGCTTCCGTCTGGCCACTCTACTATACAGGCCTGATTAGTAGATTGCTGGACAGATGGTTGTCCTTCTGAAAGGTTCTTCTCTCTCCACAGAAGAACGCTGGAGCTCAGACAGAGTGACCATCGGGTTATTAATAACTTTCCTGACTAAACCCTGGTGGTTCTAAACATCTTCCAATTTAAAAAAAAAAAAAAAAAAAAAAAAAAAAAAAATTTATATATATATATATATATATATATATATATATATATATATATATATATATATATATATATATATATATATATATATATATATATATATATAAAAATATAT